CTAGGACCGGTGGGCCTGCTGAATCGGCGCGATCGATCTACTGTAAATCGATCGCGCGGATGAAGCAGGAAAAGAGATCGTGATCAGACTGCTAGCTCACTGTGTGGCTCCGCAAACCGGAGAGTTTACCGCAGTGAGAAACAGCCGTGTAAGGAACGTTGTAAGAAACTGAAGCAATAAAGATAATATAATAAGTTCAAGTGTAGAACTTATTCTTCTCACCAACCTCCTCGACTTCCAACATATGGGTCAGACCATGAGGAAGCTCAAAACAAGAGTAGCGGAGCATAAGAATCAAATTACCCATTGTACTTACAAGGGAACCTCGCGAACCCGAAAATTTTGATTTTGATGAAACTTTGCACACATGTAAGAGGGGTCAATAGATGAATATTGACATTTTCCATTGCTGCCCAAAAACGGTTTTAAGGGATGAAATCACCCCTCATATGTAGAGCGGCTTTTCACTTTTCTCAATTTATCTCGAAAATGATTAGAGATATGTTATAAGTTAAAAGGGGTTATTTGGAAATTACTTAGCGTTAGTTTAATTGCAAGATAGAAGTAATTGTTAAAGTGTTAATTTTTGTGTTAAAGATTAGTTGTCTCTTTAACGTGGCTCGTTTTACACCTTGGGGGACTGGAATCCGGCACGGATGTCCAGTCAGTAGTCGCGGGGCGATATGCGACCGCGCGCTCAAGGGCGTACCGGCCGAAGGTCGCACATGCAGCCGAGAAGATGCAATGGTCTGCATTGCACCTTTCGGGGACCGGATGTCGCCTGATTTTCCTCGGCCAATCACAAAGTGATTAGCTCGAGGATAAAAGCCGGTGTCCGGGCCGACACGAGTAGAATCGTCTCGGAAAGTGTTGCCGCCGGAGGCTCTGCCCGGCAGAGCGTCGCTCGTCTACCTTGTACACTACGCGCGATATAACGTGGGTGAAATAAGTGTACATTCAAGATAACGAATAAAACGCAATAGTGTATTTAAATCACAAAAGGCATGATTCAAGTTGTCTATTAAATTATTTAAAGTCATCTCTTCTCGACGTCCCCCTCCCTCGCGGCATCCTCAAGAATCCCACGGGATAACAATATTAAAAAATGGTTTCTACAAAAATTTCATAGAAAAAAGTCCTCTATTTATCGAAATTAATAGAATTAAAAAAACCTAATTTAAAAAAAAAATTGTTTAACAAAAATATAAAAAAATTTTTTTTTAACAATTCTATTAATGTAGGTAAATAGAGGTGTTCTTCCCATAAAACTTTTATATAAAACATTTTTTGATGGTGAGTGGCTGCACCAAAAATTTATTTACAGACAGACATATTTTACATGTGCACATGTAAGTATCAGACTGCCGTGCATATAAGAATTTCAGTTTATTATATTTGAGGTGCAGCCGCACCAAGTTGTTTTGCATTTATTTTTTTTTGCAAATATTTTTAATTTTGACAGAATTTTTTTTTTTTTTGTTTTTCACGGAAAGTAAAGTTTTGCTGGGTTTACTTGTTAGTTTCACTACAAATCTTTTTGTTTTAATTTAATAGGCCCAGACAATTCTTTCTTTCAAAATTTTTTCCGTAACGAAAACTTAACAAAGTAGTTATGTATACTTAGATTAAGATAATAATGTACAAAAGTAATGTATAAAATTTACTTAGTGCTACTTTGTGATAACACTTTTTTTGTACAACGGGTTTTTAGAGAAAGAATATTTTGTAGTATATAAATGTTATAAAACAGGTTTTATAGAGAAAGAAGTTTTTGGAGTATAAATAAAAAAATAATTTAATTTAAATACAATACGTGTTGTGCGTGTACTTGGCGCCTGTTTTTACCTTTTTTTGAAAAGGTAAG